AGAAGACGTTTAACTTTTCTTCGCTTCTGAAAACAAAAGTGTTTCAAGATTAAGTACAATTGTGAAAAATACCTACTTAAAAAAATATAACAAAACTTAAATACAACTACGAACATTCTCCAAATCCTGAAAATGAGACTTCGTGTTCAAGGTAAATGTTCAAGCAGAAGAGAAATGCTCAGCAAAGTCTCCAAAAACTTGTGTGTTAACAACAACTGTAACGCAGAACAAGTCAGACCACGACGTAAATATATTTCTCGCCCTTAGTAAAAGTATTCATTATCAATTGATTAATAGTAATCGTGCCGTTGGAGTAACTCACAGTTTAATGAATTGTGTAAACAGAGCTGTAAAAGATTCGACGATGTATGTAAGATCTTTTGGTCGCTCATCTAAGATTTACACAGAAGTTCTTGAGTTATTTCTTATGTTACGGTTTCACTCATTCATTGCATGGATCTGTAACAAATAATTCATGCGCTATAACATACATAGATGTATTATTCAACGCGTCCGTAATATCTAAAAATACATGTATATGTTTTAACTCGTAGTAATGTTTAAATATATATGGATATTATTTAACGTGACAGAAACATTTAGAAATACACAGGATCTCTCCCTCAACCAGGCGCGCCTCGGTAGCAGGCATACGACTTTTATCCGATTTTAGTGAGACTTATAGAGGATGAGATACGACAATTTGAAAATCTGACAAATATCTACCGAATTATGACTGGTCACGTCATCAGTAAAAGACTCGCAGTTAATGAGAGTACTTCTTGTTGTGTGACCAACGGGTCAGCTACGTAAACCTTCTTCTTCGCCTGTCGTTGTATCTGTTTTCGGACCAGAGTCCAATAGATCTTTAGCAGATAGTTCCCATCCGCGCTGACCGCGACTGAAACTTGACTACTCTTCGGAATGCCATCATTAATTACAATTATTCCCTCGATTTCCTGCATGTAAAATTTTTCGCGATGTTCGACTTGCAGCCTGTAAAGCTGCTGTGAATGCGATCATGATGGACTTTTTCACATCCCTTGTTGAGGCAAATCCATCTACTAAGCCCAAATATGCTGTAGTGGCGCTCAAAATATGTTTGATATTCACAAGGGCAGTAGTAGCCTCCCACCAGATCAGAAGATCGAGAACGAGGTTCCCAACCTCAAATAGACAATGAAGAAAGGTCGTATAACTTGATTTGAGATTCAAGAAGAATAAAATAAATTCGTGGGTGTGACCGTAACTATTAAGGTGATATACGGCCACTCAGAAATCCCGAGTCTTCTTGACTGTTAGTAACTCTCGACAACATACTCCAGAATTTCCAATGGTGTATGCAAAACCTTCAAGAAACAATTCCCGAAATGTCTTGTTTTATCGCCTTGTAACCTAAAAACACTACTTCGCCTCTTGTTGAAGGAGAGAATCACCTGTTAACACATCCATATTATATATATCTGGTGATTCTGGAAATCCCAAAACCCTCGATTAAGACCTTCTTCTGTCACAGCCAGTAAGTTGAAATCAAGAAACTGATGTAATTTTTGAAAGACAAATCAATTTTTATCTTATTGTAACTTAATTTTAAGCTCGTGTTTGGTTGAATTTGATTATCATGGTAATGGAAAGTAAATTTTAATATTTTTGGATGTATGTCATATATATATATATATATATGTGTGTGTGTGTGTGTGTGTGTGTGGTGTGGAATAATTTTGGAAACACTTTTGAAAAATCATACCTGGAAAACCGTTTAACAAAGAGACACGTGGTTTTTTTGCACGTGGGAGAATAATGTTTAAAGTTTTTTTTGAGCAGCGACAAGATGCTATTAATGTGCCCCTCCAGGAGCCTTAGCGTCCGCAACACGCTTGATGAAACTCCCTAGTTGGTGGACTGGGTGGGGAGACCCGATCAGCTGGACCACGCGTCCCCCCGGACATTAGGCATATGTTATTTTCTTATGGGGCTTCATAAAGGACATGGCTTACACTAGTAAGGATGCGAAAAACAAAGAATTACGTCGAAATATACCAGAAGCCTCTACAAAGGTTACTCCTACAGTATTGGAAAACACTTGGCAGGAGATTAGACACAGACTGAACTTTTGTGTGTGTGTGTGTAACTCGTGTTGCATTGTTGAACTATGATGATTGTATGCTGTAAAAAAATTACTCTTGCACATGCAACAAACCGTGTGAATTTATGTTAAACGATTTTTCAGTATGATTTTTCAAAAGTGTTTCCAAAATTCTTGGACACCCTGTACGTATATATATATATAAAATGGTATCTGAGTTCAAGATAAAAATAATTGTCAGCTTTCATCACTACTACAAACTTTCAGTTACAAACTTTAAATCACTGATTCTATTTTGTGCAACTGGATCTCACTTGTTAAATAAATGTGCACTCAGTTTTGTTTAAATACATATTTAGTACTTTGTATGTAACTGTTCAACTAATATGTTCACTCATTATTCTCTTGGTACACATTAAACACTTTGTGTGTAACTCTTCAAATGATATGTTAACTCACTCTTGATACGTATTAAATACGTTGTCTATAACTGTTCAACTAATATGTTCACTCATTCGTCTCTTTATACGTATTGAATACTTTGTATGTAACTGTTCAACTAATATGTTCACTCATTCGTCTCTTTATACGTATTGAATACTTTGTATGTAACTGTCCAAATGATATGTTCACTCATTCGTCTCTTGACAAATATTAAATACTTCGTATACAACTGTTCAACTAGTATGTGCAATGAGTCTTCTCTTGATATGTATTAAATACTTTGTATGTAACTGTTCAACTAATATGTCCACTAATTATTCTCTTGGTACACATTAAACTTGTAACTCTTCAAGTGATATGTTCACTCACTCTTGATACGTATTAAATACGTTGTCTGTAACTGTTCAACTGATATGTCTTCTCTTGATAAATATTAAATACTTCATATACAACTGTTCAACTACGTGCAATCATTTTTCTCTTGATACATGTTAAGTACTTTGTATATAATTTATACCTTTCTTGATACAGTAATATTACAAACAGTAAAAGGCATAGTGCAGTAATTATAGGATAATAGATAGCTTCTAATAAAAGAAAGTACCAAAAGTAAAATTTTACATCTAAACAATAGAACAAGTGGATTGTAATAAGTATTATTCATTTTTTTTTAATATTGATTGCATGTACCATATAGTACCAATGTTTCCAGAGAATATTTAAAAATGAATTCAAATCTCATAAATAAGACATAGAAGCTGAAGTTATTGTCGTCCTTTTTTTACGTAAATAAATGTCACCAATTCTGGAAAACGTAATCATTTTATTATATTGGTGGTTTAAACTCAAACTGCACAATGGGCTATCTGAGCTGTGCCGATCGCAGGGAGCAAACCTGAAATTCTAGCATTGAGAGTTTCGAGCTTAGTCACTGGAAGACATTGGTTATACTAAAATGCGTCTAACAATAACCAAATTCATTAAATCAGAGTCATAGTCAGGAATTCTATTGACGCTGTTGAATGTAAAAACATGATAACTTAAGAACTAATTCCATTTTAGAAGGAGATTTGGTTTATTTGTCCGAAGACATACCGCTGTGCCCCTGGGGGCCTTAGAAGGAGAACGTGAAGTACTATGATAGACTGAATTTCGTTTATTCGAATACAATAACCATTTTGTACTAATAATACACAGAAAACATAAGTGGATTCAACCAGCATGATCTGTGTTTGAAGTACGTTTACACGTAGACATAACCAAACTAATTATTACCTTATAAGTTGTAGGTGTTTGTTAAAGCGTTATATATGTAAACGTCTCAAATAACCATATTATATGATAAATCACAATGACATGCAGCCTGCTAACATGTTCTTATTACACCACGTAAGCGAATATCACAATCTCATTATTGCATCATGTGTGAACTAATCATACACACCAGCATATCCTTATCCATGTATGTTACCTCACACAGAGATCAAAATAACATTATTATACCACATATATGTGTGAACTAAACACACACGAGTATTTCTGTATTCACGTATATGAACTTCACACAGAAATCACATTAACATCATAATACCATCTATGCGCGTGAACTAAACATGAACACTAGCATGTATTTATTCATGTATGTACACTTCACACAGAGATCACACCACATAGGTGTGTGAACTAAACACAGAGACCCCAACGAAATCTTGTCACGTGATACATGTGAGCTACACACGTGCAGACTGGTGCAAATGCGTGAACTTTATATATATATATAGTAAATATTGAGTACAAAACAAACTTACTACATAAGTGATAACTGCTACTAATTTCTAGCAACACTTAATACCTCGTTTAGCTGAAAGGGAGAAAAGGCGGAAATATCGAGAAAAGTGTTGATTTTTTTTCACGTGCAACGGTTTTATATGTGTGTATTTTTGGAAAAAAACTTTAACTTAAAAAAGTCGATTTATCCATTCTTGAAAATATGGATCCTGAATATCTTGTCAAAATGTTTAATTAAAACACAAACATCGCAGAACTAAAATGAACAAAAGTATCAGGTAGATCGAAGAAATCCCCAAACTACATCGGTAGCTGTAGTTCTCACTTATAGTTTGAAGAAATCCCCAAACTACATCGGTAGCTGTAGTTCTCACTTATAGTTTGAAGAAATCCCCAAACTACATCGGCAGCTGTAGTTCCCACCTATAGTTTGAAGAAATCCCCAAACTACATCGACAGCTGTAGTTCTCACCTATAGTTTGAAGAAATCCCCAAACTACATCGGCAGCTGTAGTTCTCACTTATAGTTTGAAGAAATCCCCAAACTACATCGGTAGCTGTAGTTCTCACTTATAGTTTGAAGAAATACCCAAACTACATCGGCAGCTGTAGTTCTCACTTATAGTTTGAAGAAATCCCCAAACTACATCGGCAGCTGTAGTTCCCACCTATAGTTTGAAGAAATCCCCAAACTACATCGGTAGCTGTAGTTCTCACTTAGTTCGAAGAAATCCCCAAACTACATCGGTAGCTGTAGTTCTCACTTATAGTTTGAAGAAATCCCCAAACTACATCGGTAGCTGTAGTTCTCACTTAGTTCGAAGAAATCCCCAAACTACATTGGCAGCTGTAGTTCTCACTTAGATTGAAGATTCTACTTTATATTCCAGGTTTTCAGGGCCTTTTCATGTACACCCTAAAACCTTCCTCGTGGACCAGGTGTTCTGCGGTATCACACAAGCGTGGTGAACTCTCTTCACGAAATACACTATTTCCTGAATCAGGAACTTGCTCGTCTGGTTTGTCTGGCCTAGGACGTGGCATTTTTCAAAACGATGCTTATCTTGCCTAGAATAGCCTTAGGTCGTAAGCATCGTGTGAAACAGTGTTTGGAAATTTTGTAATCTACAAAACTGTCCTTTCTCTTTCTATGAACAATATCGAGTGAACTCACTACGGGTTTATTTAAAAGATAAGTATGATTCCAATGTTACCTAATTTTTATTTTATAATCCTAGCTTTAATTATTTTCATATTAGAATACTTGTACTAAAGATCGTGTAAGTGTACTCAAGAATTGTAATATATGTTTAAAAATCATAAGTATAAATTGCATTTATTTTAATAAGAAGTATATTGCATATTGGAAAGGTGCTTAATACAGACCCATAAAGTTCAGAGGTAAAGTTTAAAGTTTAACATCAGGTCATCAGGTGCGTTTCAAGCATTTATTGTCTTGTCACGATAAGCATGCAAGGGATATCGAGTTGAGTTTAATCAAACTTGTGATGACGTAAGATGGCGCCAAAATTTACGTTACGTAAGAACTTGTAGAATAATAAATGCTAACGTATATGAGGAATTTCTTTTATTACTGTTGTGGTTAAGATGTAGAAAGCCGAAAAGGTATATTTGTTATATTATTGTTATTTACACGAAGATCTAAAACGCTAATGACAAACAAAATAATTGAAAAACACTTTCGGGGACTAATCTTACACAATACAGTGGTGCCTCAAAAACATCTAGTTACGATGTATTTGATCTAGTGATAAAACAATGCTAAAGTTATCTTAAACTATCTCGCTAAGGTTGATAACAAGTTGATTAGTTTTAAGTCAGTTGTAAATGTTTTAGCCCAACTTTTTTTTCTCGAGACGAAAATTACTTTTTTTTACTTCGATTTACGAACTGACGAAAACTTTTTCTTGAGATCATAACTGCCGGGGTTGTATTTAGCCAATAGGGGTTACTAACGGACTGGATATTTTTTTGACAAAATATAAAAAAGCTGACACACCAGCACCCAACATTCTTTGTTTATGTGCTCTTCAAATATTACACGAATAATATATAAAGTTACTTAAAGAAAATGAATGACTTCAGTTAGATCTGACCATAAATCTAACATATTTGTTTGAAAGGGAAGCGCAAACAGGATTTAATAAGTCGTTCTGTGATTTAAAAACCACAAATCGTAAATTAACATGTAGAATTCTAGATGTGTGGGTTCTTCAGAGCTTCTCTATTTATTACAGTGAGGGCCAGTACTAACCAGTATCCGGATACTCTTTAAGACTGGAAAGCAATATTAATTATCTGTACCAAATATAGCAGTCTGTGTATACATTTAAATACTAAGGTATTTGTAACACAGATATAAAGAAACATAATGGGAAGAATTGGGCCACAACCAGGTAATATAAACAGTAACATACTTTTCATCATTCCTCTTTATCGTTAAAAAATCTTACATTATTAGTGAAATACTCGTGAAATTTCACGGGAAACAACAAATTCATGGGAGCCAAACTTGGGAGTTCCCCAAACTCCCGTGACCTTATATTAGGGGGTTTAGTATTAAAATTTCAAAAATCTAAACTCAGAGACTTATTTTGAAAGATAGCTTACATGACAGGACCATGCCACTTTTAAAGTGATATATATAGTCCTGAGGGCCCCCTAAAATTTTTTGACTCCCACATCTTGCTCATATTTGAAAGAGATCATATCATTGGCTTGATCAGCTCCTTGTACGTTAGTACCAATTTTTAAGTACATAAGTTCAGTCAAACGGGGACCCCTCAAACCCTTTACCTCCAATTTTTGGGACACTCCTCCCTCATGATTATATAATATTTTCGTTTTCGTTTATAGTCTGTGCGAATCAATAACCTACATACCAAACTTTAAGCCAAATGTTTTGGGTCTATTTCAAAAATCGAGCAAACATGAATATATGCATAAGTACTATTGAGAATTACTATTTACACATTCAAAGTTTTGGAGACAAATGATAATGGGAAATGTGCTACTAATATATCATACACACATATATCTGAAAAAAACAAACTATTTTGCGTAATAAATTCACGATTCAGTGAATTAAAAACGTGGGACAAAGCTAATCATGGAAGAAACCATGTATTTAACCGAAACTATCACTAAAAGTCCCCTTCGATGTGACTACCTAGCTGGATTAATGGTCCATAAATTTCATCTCAACAAGATATGTGGTATTTAAAACACTGGTGAGTCTCTTAAACATTCTGAGTTCTGGCAAGATGTTTTGCTGTGTATATTTTGCAAACACTCTTGAAGGAAAATCAATAGTATAAAATGTTTGTTGTATCTATACAAACATAATTATAATCTGGACCAAGCTAACCCTACAACATCCAGTCAGATGTCATTTCTAAGTAAAAAATAAAACTAGAAATAATAAGAAGTAGAAAGACTTGTTGAGTGTAAAAACAGTGTATGAAAAACGAAAAGAAAAACACATTACACATTTTATAGCTTACCTTTACATTCACCATAAAGAATTATTGAAAAACAAACAAACAATTGTTACAGTCAGTCAACATCTTAGGATAATCAGTAAAAATATAAAAAAATGACATTCTGTTCTACTCATTCAGTATTGTGCCAAAATGATATGTCTCTAAGGTATAAGTATTACCAAACAACTATTGTACCAGAAAAATGTAAACATGTATATACATTATGGTAAAAGCCACTCTATCCAACATTATACAACTACAAACATGTGACTCGTGATCACTTCAATTCACATCACACGCTGAAAAGGAAAACAAAAACAAAAAAATGAGATGGCGAGTTGTGAGGATAAACATCTGTCCCGAACACAGGGCACTAACAATCAGCTCAATTATCTCTGTTGAAGAGTCTTGTGATCCAACAAACGCAGGTGTTGTTGTCATGCGTGAAGTTTATCAGCGTATCTTTAAATTCTTCTTAAGTAACAGCTGCGTGGTAATTCCTCACAAGAATGTCCAGGTGGCGCTATTCATAACACGTTAAAAACAAACTTTGTCTGCTAAGTTACCGAGGTTTAAAACTGACGAATAAAAAAATTACTAATTACAACCTTGCACAAAAAAATATATTTGTTTAAGGTTCTCGACACTGTAGAAGAGAAAAATAATGTAATAATCATGAGTATTTTCTACCATATAACTATAATTTTAAATCAAGTTTCTGAAATTTGAGCCTATAAACACTTTAAGAGCACAAAAATAATGACACGCCCTTAAGCTAGGGAGCCATTTGCAGAGTCTACCGATGGTTCAGCAGTAAGTCTGAGAGCTTATAACACTAAAAATAGAACATATAGCCCATTGTGTAACTTTGTGCTTAACATACAAACAAATAAAACCTTTCCAGAGTAAAGATACGTTCATTTTTAAAGGTAGAGACAGCAAAATCATAAATATATTTTAGGTAAGCAACCTTTTGTTCAATATTACAAAAATATATTGGACAGTTATTTCCAACCTTATGAGCTCCAGTATTCTGTGTTCTTCGTAAAACATTTATTACTATATTATAGTTTTTATTTAACATTTTTGGACTTCACATAGAGACGGTCTTTAAAGGCAATATTAAGTCAAAAAATATAGTATCTACAGTAAAGACACACGAATAACCAAATTCATAAACAGGTGATAATAACGTACACATGTCTAATTATATGTACATGAGTGACGATTGATGTCAGAAAAAGAGGCTATTGAGGCATTCAGTAGCAGTACTGAAGAGGTGATTTTTAACCTCTCCCTCCAAAACAAATTCAACTCGTTGATTGTATCCCATTATAACATAACATTACAACATAAATGTAGTCGCTCTATAAGGTTTACCAGGTAAAAAAACGCACGTGCTTTTCCAAACAACTTATCATAAGTTTTGTTAAAGAACGTTTAGTATTTTCTGGTGGAGTTACATGCATGTTAAATTAACGATGGTTTGTATAAACAAACTGCTGTTGAAACGACAGAGATATAATGTGTTAAGTTATCCACGAACGTTTGTTTTTTCAGGTCCTGAGACTTGAAGCAAATTTAAGAAGTGGTCGTGCCCAGTATATTCCAAGTAAACTTTGACCTTCTTCACGAAAGAAACGAAAAAAAAAAAGAAGATATATGTGAGCAACTTTAAACAGCACGTGAATAATTAAAAATACCCAACTATGAACGAGCAAACCATTCATGTGCTTGTGAAAACAGAAAAGGCCTATGAACGACAGGACTTGAAAACAGGTAACTGTAAATTTGAAAGACGATAGAATGAAAGGAGAAAAACGCCTATGGCAGGATTAAAAAACTTATTCTAGTGCTTTAGAAACTTACCAATGGGAAAATAATTAAAATAACCAAAGGGACTAAAGGGATTACAACGAGAAAAAAGATAACAAAAATAAACAATGAAACAAAAAGGAGCTTAATGTAATAAATAGTTTTTTAATAAGGGAAGTGAATGGTGAAGTGCCCTAGAAATTCCGAGAGCCTATGATTGAAAGTAAAGAATAACGTATAACAATATGTCAATCACTTTCTATCGACTATATGCAGTGCCGAAGAGGTTTTCCGCCCAATACCAAGACTCATCAGGGCGGCTGGGACACGATACAATAGCGATTGGGACGCTGTTTACATTATCAAATTGCATGAACAACATCTATTATAAAGAGAACGAGATTAAGATGTAATTTTATATAATTTTATTATGTAAGTCATTTACAAATCAGAATCAGGGTAAGGATTAATAACGTATTGTTATATATTTATTCTAACAACAGGTAGTTATTATTGTATATTTATTTATCACTACTTTTAGTATTGTTTGTTTTGTTTGTTTGTTTTTAATTATGCACAAAGCTACACAATGGGCTATCTGTGCTCTGCCCACCACGGATATCGAAATTCGGTTTCTAGCGTTGTTAGTCCGCAGACATACCGCTGTGCCACTGGAGGCTACTTTCAGTAACTTTATAATGGCTGGAGACTGCTACCTGATGATGGCAAAACTTTGTCGAAACGTTGTACACTTGCTGTTATGTTAAATTTATATTAAAGTTTTGTTTCATTACCCATTCAAGCCGTCTCCAGCCATTATTGGTCTCAAAGTGGGTTCCTCGTCATCGAATTTCAGTAACTTTACTCATGCTTCAGAAGAACTGAATAAAGGCATTTTTGAGGTGCTGAGATCGCTTGTACATACTTTAGGAGCAAGGACAGCATGGAATTCAGATCCAGAGAAAAAGTCGAAAGCTGGTTGTACTAAAGGTAAAAATTTCTCCAAAGATGAAAAAATCATATTCAGACTCAGCATCATTTGGCTGATCCGTTTGGATTGCTTCGGGCTTGTAAATGAGTTGACTTTACTTGTGTATGGTAATTAGAGGAGAACTTAGAGATGTTTGAGTTTCCACAGAATGCTGGAAGTTAGGAAAATGTCTGACTGAATGGCACAGTGTCTGAACAGATTAGAAACAGGAGTAGCATGCTAAGAACTCGTAATTGAAGGCTAGTCGGGAGGATCTTGGTATGAATTCCGTCGAAATAGACTTCTTGAGAAGAAAAAATAAAATATTCGGCATAATTTCTCCCAGCCTTATAGTGAAACTAATCAACAATGAGCCCGAATCAGGGCAGTGACTCAGCTTGCTTCTAACAGATGAAAATAACTTTGACAAAGCCAACGGTATTATCACATTTCTTTGAAGATAATTCTATCAGTAATGTTGTAAGTCAATAAGAGAGAAGAAAAGTTGTCAAGGAATAGAGGTATATCTAAAATACGCAGAAAATACTATGCAGGTAAGTTGTCACCTTTCCTGAGTAGGTGGAAGACATTCAGGAAGACAAGCTAATGCCGTCCATTAATCTAATTTTAGATTTGACCTCATTATATGTCTCATTCCCTCAATTAGAAAAGCTGGGAATAGTTAATTTACAATATCCATGTCCTTCACAGGACCTAACGACGCTAATCTCTGGGGTTCAGTATTCTGTTGGGAACAAAGCGCAGATAATCCATTGTGTAAGTTTGCGCTAAAAAACAAACAACTAACCTTTTTTCTTGTAACTAGTTGTTCGAGAAGACGACAGTGAAGCTGTTTTAGTTACTGGAGGCTTCGAAGATTTCAAGGCCTGGTTAGTATGGTTAGTGTGTCTGTTAAGAGGTTCTGGAACAAATAAAACATTGCATTTTGAATTTTACTTAGATTCTGTTATAACTCCTAACTGAGAAATAAGATCATTCAAAAATGTTCTATTACTGGCTGGCGATGATGAAACAAGTGAGCTAATTTAAATCATCTATATTTTTACAAATAATATTTTTATTTAAAAATGTTCTACCGACAGCTGGCGATGATGAAACAAGTGAGCTAATTTAAATCACCTAGATTTTTACAAAGAATATTTTTATTTAAAAATGATCTATTGACAGCTGGCGATGATGAAACAAGTGAGCTTATTTAAATCACCTATATTTTTACAAAGAATATTTTTATTTAAAAATGATTTATTGACAGCTGGCGATGATGGAACAAGTAAGCTAATTTAAATCACCTAGATTTTTACAAAGAATATTTTTTATCCTACAAGTTCTACATGCTGTTTGTTATTATATTTTAGTCGTTATTATATACATTTACAGCAAATCATGTGCAAAACCTAGCTTATTATCACGATATTTCTTGAGTGAATATTGAGAACTGTGTTAGGCCTACTTTTAATGCATCTACGGAATTTATTTTGATAAAACCTATCCGGCATAATTCGGAGAATAGCGTCAATAATTTCGAAACAAAGTCATAAACACCATCAACAGAGATGAGCAGATCAACAGCGATACATTTTATGAGGTGTAAAATATCCTTTTCTGTTGCATTTTTTTTAAGTAGTTACTTGTTAGACAAGAAATCATTAAGGAAACATAAAGAAGACTGACCCTGAAAACTGGAAATAATCAATCTTAAATTCTGTTATAATTACTTAGTTAACCCTCCGAACAATTAATCAAACGTTGTTTTACTGATATGGCTGTAATATGTTTTGTAGGAAATGTCTTACAGTAGTTCTAAACTAATTTAATGAGATATGTACATTTAAAAAATAAGTTTGAAATTATGCAACGGTTTATAGATGTATGTAGTAAAAATGCACACCAACTCACTCACGTGTAGAATATATAAATGAGCATTAATTTATGTTCAGTTCGTATAATTTCAAATTACTTTACGTGTTACTCAATTTGAATTTAATGAGTTACCTGTTGGTGAAGTCACCTGTCCATATGTTTTGGCACTTGTGTTAGATCTCAGCGAAGTTTTCTTCTTTGAAATGGTGATAGAACCTACAATAATGATATACAATCACAGGTGTAGCTCTAACGTAATTTAAATAAAGTTAATCCATAAACCTACACAAAATATTCTTTAAGCTACAGTTAAAACCTGTAGATACGTATATATATATACATTTGTACTTGTTTAAAATGATTTGAGTCATTTGATTTGATAAGATTAATGTAACATAAATCTTATGAACAATCTTACCTACCTGTACTTATTGTTTTGTCAACTGCGTTTTTTTTCCCTATGTTTCTTTGAGACGGTGTACGAAAGACAAAAGAAGTCGAGGATAGGTCACTAGATGGCGATGCTGTCGATGAAACTGAAAATAATATTTTTCGTACTTTTCTAATTACATTCACGTCACATTACTAAATAAGATTATCTTGCGAGAAATTTATCCCAAATAAGAACTTACATTCTCAAAAAGATAAGTCAGTTTTTCAAAATTTTTGAGAGTTTAAAACTTTTTTATGTTTATAAAGATGTTATCGAAGAACTTCATAGAAACACGTGATAAATCAGGGTTAATACCTGAGTATGCCATGTCTAAGTCATTGTAGGACTTTATGATTTTATGGTACATATTAGCATAGAAATGTTCCAGTTTTTATGCACACAGAAATCAAACTTTTACAAAAATAAATAACAAAATACACTTTTAATTACATAATTTTTTATACTTTACAGACCACTATTGGTTATAATTATCAATAAAGATAATGTGTATGTTTTAAAATTAAACAGAATTTTTTCATTGAAAATATCTAGAATTTAAAATAGTACTTAAAGAACCATATGAATTGTACACAATACCTCAGTTTTAACCCTAACTAAAACTGTTATATATCATACGTTGCCAAGATTAAAGCATCAAAACGGTTTAAGTGTAGTTGATTGTGAAATTTATCGTTTGTTCAGATGAATTTTGCAGCACTGATCAACATAATACAATTCATAAAAACCAAGAGAACTCACATTAAAATCTCAGTTCCATCTGTTTATCTAGAAATATATATTTTATTTTCGGCATCCTCGTATTAAGTAATATCATACTTATAATATTCACATACAAACACATAATATCGACGTGCGTATTTATGTGGTAATATACATATATATATACTGATATAACCTAATTGAAATTATTTAAAATATTTCGGACAAAATCATTACTCTTATCATAATTATTTCAATTTAATTTTCACTTGAAGTCATTTACTACCGAGTAAAATTACACATATTCGGTTATGATTTGGAGAAACAACTTACTCTGGTATCTAGTAATAGTTTCTTGGTCAAAGTTATACTCTGGTTGTACGCTTCGAGTTGGTGTCCACAGCTGATCGCCGGTTCTTTTAGATGTTTTACACACAGTCACATCGTTTCTTGAAATAACATTATCCCTAAAACATAATACCATGTTTGAATCTTTCTGTACATGATTAATACTTTCTTGATATTCTCTAGCTCTTCATTCATGCCTTTCACTGACTAGCACTTAATAAAAATGGTACAGAAGCATGCATATTAAAATAAGAGCTTATGTTAAAATATATCATCTATTGTTTCGTAATAAGCTATTGTAAATTTTGAAATTAAATAATCCGATATGTTTCTAATTTTAGATGAGTTTGATCCAAGAACGTACGATTTTCTGCCACCTTTGTCTTTTTGTCTTAACTGTAATCTTCTAAAACCAATATTAAACTTAATAGCATATTATTAAACTTGCCTTTGAGATTGTAAAATGGCTTTATTCTCAGCTTTTGTAAAGTGGCGCCCTCGGGTGGATCTTTCTTTCCCAACTAGATGCTTCAGACCCTCTGAATTTGGATTAGATGATTTATTTCTCACTATTTGACGAGCAGCCACGAGATTTGTATTGATTTTGCTTTTTATCTCTTTTTTCTTTGGTTTGGACTTATCTTCATCTAAACTCGCTGCTATCTTTGTGGTCACTGCATCCCACCGGCTCTTCTTTATTGTTCGAGATACTAATTTTTTTTCCTCTTCTCCCTCTCTTCCTTTAGGTTTTTCAAACATTTCTTTAATTTTAGACTTGACATTCTTCCTGGGATATTTCGGTCTTTTTTCAGAATTAGACATACTTGTGTCGCTGGTACCATTTGACTTTTCTGATTTTCCCCATTTTCTGTTGGTTTTTGTTACAATTTCGTTTTCGACATTTTTGTTTGTTTTTGAAGTTAATGGTTCTGTTTCAAACAATATATTTTTATCTTTTTCATCAGCTAATGACATCTTTTCATTTACCATGTTAACAACCGCTTGAGGAAATTTATCTGTTTCTGACATGTCTTCAGATTCGTCAACATTTTCTTGCTTCAATGCATTTTCAATTTCAATATGATTTTTTTCAGTTTCTTCGGGAGAGCTGACACAACAACTATTAGAATTTGATATACTCTCTTCGGGCACTCTTGTCAACTTCACTTCCCATTTGAGATCCATTTTATCTGCAAATGGCACAGAAATGTCCTGATGACCTTCAGTCTGAAATCGAATCTTGTCCGTGGTCTTGTGATGCTCGGGACAAACATCATCTTGTGTGAGTCTATAAAAGTCTTTGTAGTTTTGTCTGTATGGCCTGGACTCTCCGGAATGTTCGCTTTCGGATTCCGCAATAGATGTTCCAAGACCACCATCTGTAAAGAAGTCTGAATCGGTCATGCTCCCTGCCTTCAGTTGTCGTTCGGATTCATGACCATCAGAAGCCACACCGCTGTCTTGACTGTACGTCGAGAATTTCATGCACGCTTCTTCTCCAGAACAAGTTAAAGTACCTAGCCCGCTCTCTTCATATTCCACCTCTTCATCGGCATGGCAAACTGCTTCTATAGGTTCACCTTCTACTCTGTCTTTTCTCACCTTTTTAGAATATTCTTTTTCTTTACTAATTATCATACCTTCTCTCATCAATTCCTGTTCTTTGCACATAGTCTTTGACGGACTATATTTGGAATGAACAGGAAGCGAAGATTTCTCTGATATTTCTGTCAGTAAACAATTTTTGACATATTCTTGCTTTTCAGCTTCGAGGACCATATTTTTCAAAGTTCCAGCATGATATTTTTCGTCTGGATTTATTATTTCATCATCCTTTGGTAGAATGTTATTAATCTGATCTCGAGGGACGCCTGAAAGTGTTTTACCATTATCACATACACTGTTTTCTTTATTTGTGTCAGTTTGAGCTGCAATTAAATTATTTACTTGCTGTTCTAACTGTGTTGTAGAAGCTTCTCCTATTTTTATCTTCAAAAAATTACTATCTGAGACTTTAGGGTAATTACTGTACCTTAAGTCCGAATAGGTCTTAGTACTTTCATGGGTATTGGGAGCTAATGGTTTATCATAGTCAATCTCTTTTAAATGTGTATCATTCCGATAGACTGTTGTCCACTTGTTTGAAGACAAGACATCTTCAGCTATAACTTCTACACTATCGCTGGATTCCCAACAGTCTTCAGCTTGTAGCCCATACAATAAGTAAGATATTTCACGCTCTTTAATAGAAGAACTTGCAGAACAGACACTAGAAAGAGAAACATGGTGAAGTTCAGGAGGAAGAGTAGTGGATTTTGAAATATTTGAGGATAAATCGTGGCAAACTCCCTGAACTGGAGTGCTGGTTTGTGGCACATATGAAGAAGAATATATGTGGTGAGGTCTGTGAGCAGGAATAATAGGATTGGTGATAGACAAAGAAGAATTCTGGAGAATCTCATCACCATACTCCACTGTTATGTCCTCAACTATCTCAGAGTCAGGTAATTCACTTACTTCATCGCAAGAAAAGGTCTTGGGCAACGTAACCGCGTCTAAATCAGATACTTTCGAGGTATGTTGCTCACTGATCACTGTAAAATCTTTCATCTGATTTGGAGTCAAGATACCCAAACTATCTTCTTGGTCAGCCCAAAATCCTCCATCAAAATCATCATCATCATCTTTCAGTAGTCCACCGAGATCAAAGGACATTTGTTGTTGTTGAAGATCGTCAAGTGAGAGGTCTTGCTTTGAATCATCGTCACTCTCAAACGTTTCCGAATCAAACATATAACACGATTGTGACAACAGAGGATTTTCCACATGATAATCAAAATAGAACGAACCAAGTTCATAGCTTTGCTTGTCAGTATGAATCGTCGGAATTTCTTTATTCAATTCATTGTATTCATCATCTTCCGAAGATGAAGATATATCCTGATTCGACTTCTGGTCATTGTTGCCTTGTTCACTATCGTTAAAATTAAGAGGATCGCTATCAGAAAAACCCGTTAATAATCTATGATCACGCGACCTCTCGTGTTTATTAAGAGTTGTTGAAAGTGAGCATCGAGATATAGTTTCTTCGCAAAATTGACTAGACTGATCCTCAGATGACTTACGAATATTCTCTGAAGACGAAACATGTTGCATCATCACCGAGAAATTGTTACGAATCTGAGATGAATTGGTGTTTGATGATTGACTCCATGAACGCGCGGAATTTTGGGATTTGTCTGCAATTGGCGGAAATTTAAAATCACTTGACCGTTGCTCTGTTAAAGAGCATGGTCTAGAGTGCTGGTTTTCTTCCACATTTTTATAAGAGACTAAAGAATCTTTGAGTGAAAATACTGTTTCCACCTTTCGTATAGGAGCAAATATTCCAAAGTTCTGGCCACAGCTAAAATATCTGGTGCCCTGCACCGAGCCGTCGTTCTTTCCGATTGGTTCGTCCAGTTCTATACCACACCAACATCCCTCAGCAAATTGAACAGGGCCAAAATACCGAATTATCCCTTCTTTCACTCCTGCGACACGAACCCTCTGGCCAATCAATCTAATTCGATCACTTTGGAGACTAGAGACGTCATCAAGGTGGTCAGTAATTGACCAGGAGTCCGATGAGCCTTGCCAAGAGCGACAGTCATCCTTTGTTAGCGTTGACACTGATTTTGGTATAAAACTTTTGGGCTTAAGAGTTGTGGAATCCTGACTAGAAACATGGTCCAGTAGTTCTTTTTCCAATAGCTGTTAAAGGATAGACACAGTAATATATGAATATAAACCTTGCCAGATATTTGTTAGACCGTCAACCAAAACGTAGAAAAAACAGTACTAAAAATTAAGAATGAGACGACAAAATATTATACACCACACGAAAATTCGCTAAGATTTCCTGCCGTAAAATTAAAGCACGTTTCTTTTTCTCGAAAGAAACAATATTTTGTAAGAAACGGTTCAATTTATGAGACTATTTAGCTCTGTAACTGAATAGAAATTACAAACTTTTCAATAGCAGAGAACCGTTGAAGAAAGTTAGCTCTTTGTCCATTGACTCGTTGTGATAAAGAAACCTGCTTTAGGCACGTGCTAGTGGTAGCCACTAATAAGTACATGTATTGTTTTCTGTATGTTTTTGGGACACGCCTATCTGCTATATTAAGTATGTTGTCATCAGTTTTGGGAAACTGCCAACAATGTTACTGAGGCATGCGGGCTGCTGGTGTTGTATCTTAACAAAGGATGTGAAACAACGAAGTAAGAAAATATAACATGGTTGTGGAAGCACATTTTCATATGTTGAGCTAGATACGAGGAGAAACTAAAACCCGTTACTTAAACGGATATTTACAGAAATATTAACCTCAGGATTTTGTACTTGATAACACCTTTTATCAAATTACAAAACATTTACCTTAAAAGTAAGAAAACTTATCAGTTCTAATGTATAATTTTCACATAATATATTTTTTATACTTTTCGATCACCCGAAATTAATATTTTTGAGCATGTTTTGATTCAAAATGAGGAAAAAGACTCAAAAGATAAGAAAAAGATTGCACGATTATGGTTCCTAAATTGATTTTGTATTAACCAGTTTTAAAATACTTATGTATATGCATCTTCTATAAGAATGAAAGCCGAAGATAACAATGTAATTTTGTTTCTTAGGTGAACTTTCTTAAACAATGTAATTATGTTTCTTAGGTGAACTTTCTTAAACAATGTAATTTTGTTTCTTAGCTGAACTTTCTTAAACAATGTAATTTTGTTTCTTAGCTGAACTTTCTTAAACAATGTAATTTTGTTTCTTAGCTGAACGTCGTTAAACAATGTAATTTTATTTCTTAGCTGAACTTCGTTAAACAATGTAATTTTGTTTATCAGGTGAACTTTGTTAAACAATGTAATTTTGTCTCTTTGGTGAATTTTTCTAAACAATGTAATTTTGTCTCTTTGGTGAATTTTTCTAAACAACGTAATTTCGTCTCTGGTGAATTTTTCTAAACAACGTAATTTTGTCTCTTTGGTGAACTTGATTGAATAATGTAATTTTGTTTATCAGGTGAACTTTGTTAAACAATGTAATTTTGTCTCTTTGGTGAATTTTTCTAAACAACGTAATTTTGTCTCTTTGGTGAATTTTTCTAAACAACGTAATTTTGTTTCTTAGGTGAAATTGATTGAATAATGTAATTTTGTTTCTTAGGTGAAATTGATTGAATAATGTAATTTTGTTTATCAGGTGTACTTTGTTAAACAATGTAATTTTGTCTCTTTGGTGAATTTTTCTAAACAATGTAATTTTGTCTCTTTGGTGAATTTTTCTAAACAACGTAATTTTGTTTCTTAGGTGAACTTGATTGAATAATGTAATCTTGTTTCTTTGGTGAACTTGTTAAAAGTATACAAATTTTGATCGGATTCTAGGTTTTAGCTGAAATCAGCGAAGTACAGTCCCTTCTTGTATATCCTATAGAACTATGAAAGAATGTAATGGAACGAAGTCAAGAAGTAAAGAGTTTTGTAATAAACCTTTTTATTTTTAATTACATATAAATGTTTTAATTTGGCATGTATATCCACGGTACAAAGAAAATTTGGAAATTTGTATTTCGGTTGGAGTGTTTTCTAAGGCCTTGCATGGTGCATTATATGGTTCCTCAGCGGGGCTACAACCTCTGGTATTAAGAAGACTGTACAGCGGATGCTGTACATCTGGAGTGGAAATGTTTAGAAAGATTAATAAATGGTATAGTGAGAACCTCCACATTAACAAATAATGTACTGATATTTCCTGCATTAAAAATAACACAATCTCCACTTGATAATGGTATAATGATAGCCTTTACATTGAAAATAATATAGTTATATTCTCTACACTGCAAAACAGTATAATAACAACCTCCACATTAAACAATGGTATTGTGATGACCTCCATATTAAAAATAACATAGTTATAGCTTCTGTATTACAAAACATTACATATGGTGTATTGACAACGTTCGCATTAAAAATACATAGTGATAACTTCTACATTAACAAAATTACCAATATGTTTAATACTTGTTTGGCATGCAACCGGTAAATCCGCCCCCCCCCCCACCCCAAGAAAAGAAAAGAAAGAAGCGTCTTTAATGTCTAGTAGATGTTAATATGTGTATAAGTGTTGTTTCAAGTAAATTACTGGTTCTTCATTTCATAAATACACAAGAGGTTCGTAGTTTAAGAGCCACAACCTTTTGTCACGCTGTTAAACAACAGTCTTATTTCACGCTGTTAAAGAACAACTTTGTGTCTTGTTGTTAAACTACAACCTCATGTCACGCTGTTAAAGTACAACCTGTACCTCAGTGGCACAACGGTAATCCTGCGGACTTATAACGCTAGAAACCCATTGTATAGATTTGCCCTTAACTACAGACACACATACAACAAACCTACAACCTTATGTCGCGTGTTAAACCACAACCTTACGTCACTTTGTTATACCACAACCTTATGTCATGCTATTAAACTACAAATTTATGCCACACTTTTTAAAGATTTAATTAGATGTAGTTCGATTTATATTTATATTTTATGCTCAAAGTAATATAAAACAAAGATTTATCGAAGAAATTATAATAACTAAAATTTATTTACCCAGACTAACATGTTTCGGCAAGTGTTGAAACATGTCAGGTATGGATTAATAAATTTTAGTGATTTTAATTCATGTGACATAATGGTGTAACAATGTTGCTCCTTCATGACAGATTATATTGTTTTCCAATAATAAAAAAGGTTGAAACATAAGATGTTGTACATATGTAAAATATTTCTAAAGCTCTTAACTTAGGGGAAATCCTAGACTTCTTTACTGTTAGCATCACAAATGCCCCCCAAAACAATGCTAACATTGAAAGTTCCCCAACGTGCTCTAAAAGAAAAATGTACCACGCAAAAAGACTTGTCTAAGGACAACCACGTAACTTTTCAATAAGCAAATACATGACCAGAAGTATATTTAACTAGAACTAATAATCCTCGCTTGTATACACGATCATCTTCCATTTTAAATTTCGATATGAAAAAGCAAATCACAAAAGATTTGACTATCAGACTAGTTCTAAAAAGAAAGTTATTTTTAGGTTGGATTTAAAGCGACCTTATTGAATATCTAAAATCAGATTTGAGCAACATTTGATGGTGCAAAGGCAATCCAAAAGCTAGTTACCCTTTCACTGTTTTACAAGTTTTGAAAACTGCCTAATCGTCACTGGAACAAGATGCAACACATTAAAGACGAGGAATATTGAACCCAATGTTATAGTTGTATATTTATAAAATAACAACAAATGATAAGGATGACTTCAAGTATTATTTGTTTTGTTTTTAAAAGATTGATTGATTATTTTGTGACTTGATTGTTATCGTACAATAACGGATTAATTACTCAGATGTAGCAGAAAGTATGAATATTTGATAAATACAATCATAATTAAATCAACTGTAAAAAATACATATACATATTTATATAAAAAGAATAGACATAAAGACATATTTAGCTATTTTGTATTTACAAAAGTGTATTTACCTTTTCATTCAGGCAATTGTACTTATTCCTGAAACTCATTCACATAAAACATCACATCGTTAATTAGTGTACAACTAAAATTTAGTATAGTTAATTTTGATATGTGTCGCCCCCACACACGAACAAATAAAATGTCAGATCCTTAAATATAATTTACTGTTAAAAACCCATTGAAAAAC